GCCGCCACAGCAGCAGCAGCAGGTGGCTGCCGGCCTTCACTGGTGGTGCGTGTGAAGCGGTCTTTCAGAAACCGTGAACCCAAGACCCTAAACCCCAAATTAGGGTTTGAGGAACCCTATTTCTTTTGGCCTAAACGCTAGCGTAAGCAGAGCTACAGCAGCAGCAGCAGCAAAAGGGAGTTCAAAAGGCCCGAGTTTGTTAAGCTAAAATGGAGACAAATGAGAAATGAAAAATTGCAAGTAAACGAAGAACAACAAATAAGGATAAATAAATAATGCGAGAAAAAAAGAGAATAAATAAGTAAATAGCAAAGGAATAAATAAAAACGAATAAATAAAGAACGAAAGAGTAAGTGAGGTAGAAGTACACGAAAAGTTTGAGAAGCGCGAGTTTGGCGGCTTAGGTTTCCGGGGCTGCAAACCCTAAACCCTAAACCCTAAACCCTCGTTTGCGTCAGTCGTGGTTGTTCGCTCTCCCGCTGCTGCTGCTGTGCACGAAGTTGTGGAGGGCGTTTCTGGGGTCTCCCCTGCTTTCACTTGCTGCTGCTGCTGCTGCTGCTGCTGCTTCTCTGTGGCTGTCGGGGTACTGGGACCCGTTGCTGCGGTGGCGGGCCTCGCGGGACCGATCCCGGTGTCTGTGTGGGGAGCGATCCCGATCCCGGGATCGCGAGCGCTCGCGGTCCCGGGATCGATCCCGGGAGCGGTCCCGATCCCGGGACCGGCGATCCCGATCCCGGGACCGGCGATCCCGATCCCGGGATCGGTAGCTGGAGTAGCGGGAGCGATCCCGCTCCCCGCTGCGGAGCCTGTCTCTGCTGCTGCAGTCCCTGTCTCTCCTGTCTCTCCGGAAGCCGTCCCTCTTGTCCCTGTAAGCAGCAGCAGCGTCTCCGTAGGCGGCAGCAGCAGCAGCAGCAGCAGCAGCAGCGCTGCTGCTGCCGCCGCGGTACCTGTGCGCGCCCCGCTCCTGCGAGCGATCCCGCGACCGCTCCCGCTCCCGCTCCCGCTCCCGCTCGCGACGCGCAGCAAGCCGCCCAGCAGCAGCAACTTCTGCTGCTTTCGTCTTGAACTTCTCCAGAACCGAAGCCCTTTTTGCTTCTGTCTCCTTCAGTGCTGCTAGTGCTGCTCGCACTCGCTCGCAGCCCCTGTGCTGCTTGCCGCTCACGTGCGACTCGAAGCGGCACAGCGCGTCCCCCGTCGACTGCATCGCCCCGCACGTCGTGCACACCTGCGCGCAAACCCTAAACCCTAAACCCTAAACCCTAAACCCTAGGCCCTGGGGCCCAGGCCCTGGGCCGTGCGCGCGGGGGCGGCGGGCGCGGGGCGCG